AGGAACAAGTGACAGGACAAGAGGAAACGGCCTCAAGTTGTGCCAGGGGAGGTTTAGGTTGGACATGAGGAAAAATGACTTCCACGCCAGGGTTGTCCAGGGCTGTGCCAGGCTGCCCAGGGCAGTGATGAAGTCCCAATCCCTGGAGGGGTTTCCAAGCCATGGAGATGTGGTGCTGAGGGACATGGCTTAGTGGTGACCTGGCAGTGCTGGGTTAACTGCTGGACTCAATCTTAAAAGTCTTCTCCAAGCCAAACAACTCTATGATTCTATCACAGAATCGAGCTCTGTCAACAGTTCCTGACTCGCCACGCTGCCAGAACTTCCCGAGCTGCCCACAGATCCCCCCGACTGCACGCAGGGGCACCCTGCCCAGCCCAGCCACCTACTTGTGGAAGAGGTGGCCGCAGGGCAGCCTGCGTGCCGACTGCATCGAGTCCCAGCAAATGGCACAGTCGTCATTGTTGGCCGCCAGCTCCTCCGGCGTTGCGACTGCAAACCTGCAAAGGGAAGAGAAGAGGCAGCAGTCACCACTATCAGCTCAGCATGACCTCCTGCCTAAGAGAAGCCTGCACTGAGAAAACCTTTTCCCTCACGTGAAGCTTTCTTTGGGAGAGGGGTGCCAGCAGGCTTGCTGGGTTTCCGTCACTCAGACTCACACTGCAAAGGACGGCACCCACCTTCCTCCCACACACCTTTTTTTTTCCACATCTCTGCACAGGTCCTAAGTTACAAAAGCTTTGATTTAGTATCTTCCAAGAAGTATCATTAGGTTGAGAACCTCAAGCTGTAATCTGTATAGATGTGACTTATGTCATTTTATTAAATGAGGTTTAATAGCTGTACTCATTAAGATGTCTTCTTGGGATCATAAGCATTTATGGTCTGACTAATTTTGGCCTTAGATTTTGCAACACCGTGCTTATCTTCTTTTATTTTTTTCTTTTTCCCCAACTACAGTGCCAAAAAAGCAGCTACTACATAGTCCCCAAACTGAGAGGAGTGTTGTAACAACATTTCACACTACTGTTGGTGTGGAATACACCTGAAGAACGACTACACAAAGGCAGGGAGCTCACTGCACTCAGAAGGAAGCCAGAATGTGGTCCTCCCAAGACAATGAGAATGACAAAAACATACACAAGAAGTCTGAGACTTCCTGCAAATCAAACAGCTTCTGTGAGCAGCTTAAAGGGGTTTAGCCACTGCATTTTACTGAAGAGAAACAATGCATTGTGGATAAGCTTTATCATGCAGCTCTTGCCCTAAGCATATAGCCATTAAATGACTTTTCACAAAGAAAACCTCAGGAATTCCTACAGAAGTCAGTCTTCTCCATCTGGACTACAGCAGCAGGGATCTGAGCCAGTTAAACCCACTGAAGTTCACAACAAAAGTGATACAGCAACATGCAGGAGGAGTAAAACTCCCTGTTGCTCTTAGAGTTACTAAGGACACAGATGAGTTATGAAAACACTGGATCAGAGATGCAGCAGCATCTGGCACAACAGCAGGTTTTAGCAGACCTTCCAGTTTCTGTACACTGGGGGTGGACTGAAGTAATCCCAAGGTGCTCTCAGCTCCACTACAAGCACCTAGTCTGTTTAGTTTCAGATTTAATGAATACACAGTTAAAGCTGAGCGGGCATTAATTAATATTTGAATTTCATTTCAGGCAGTAACCGAATAGTAAGGCCTTAATGAAATTCAGAGCATTTGTTTTTATCACAGCCAAAGCCCAGTATTTGACAACTGAAATGGGCAGAGCTCTGCAGAACTTACGTGACCCGAGCAGGGGAGTGGACAAGAGGATACAGGAGAAGAAACAGCGGACACAGAGTTTGCTTGTTGCTAGTAACATGTAATACTGCCATTATAAAAGTCAATCCTACACATCTGTCAGAAGCAGAAAGGGTGTCCCCAGTAAAAAGAAAATGAAACTTCTTGCTCAGGATCCTCTCTCCAAGGTCCCCACCCAGATCCCAGAGGCTCACCTCGCTTCCATGTTTCCAACCACACGCAGGTAGTTCTTGTGCCGCCGGATTCTGCGCTGGACCTCGTGGAACAGGTAACGCAGCTGCATGAAAATCACCAGGCTGGCCATGGACAGCCAGATATTGCCAAACAGCTCGGGGCAAAAAGCAGAACGGCCATTAGAAACGGGAGCCACGGGGAACAAGAGAAGCTGCATCAGGTCTTAAAGAAACGGAGGAATCGGCACTGAAGAGATTTTCTGTTGTTGAGACCACCCAGACTCAGCACCCGTGCTCCCAGGTATGGCTACACACTCCAGCCCCAGGCACAACCTGAGCTGCACAGCATTTATCATCAGGATAAGCTGTACTCAGTCCTGTTCAGCTTCATGTCCCCTGCTGCCAGTGAAAATAATGCGGTCTGATATGGCTCAATAACAAAGCTAACTAAACACCCATTAAGCAGATAACCACATAGCAGTTAATAGTCCATAACAAATTTATTTGTGAGAACTCATAAATAAAACGTATATCAAGTGTACCCAGTCCCCTTTATTTTAATGCCACTCCATTTGTTCAACATTATGCCCAGTGTTACTTACCAGCATATGAATATGATGCATCAAGTCCAGTGAGAGCAAGGTTAGCTCCATGACAAAATCTGTGTAGTAGATGTAAGTGCCTTTGTCCTCCCACATTCCTTCGTGGCTGAGGTCCCAGAGATGAATTGCATATCTGCAAGAATGGGGAAATTCAAATTAATCTCTTTTTTGTTGCTGTTGTTAAATAGTATCTCTAGCTTTCAAACTGTTTTATCCCTTTCTCAGGCAACTCCTGGGTGTGGATTCTTTGCCTGCTCTAAGCCCATGGCCCACACCCTGTGTTTCCCTCAAGGACTTTTTTTAAGGTTCCTGGGTTCAAACAGCAACATTTTAAAAAGGCAAAAAGCAATCAATGCCTGGCCCACACTGGCATTACAGACCCCACCAGCTGACAGAGAAGAAGCAGCATTTGCTAAAAACTCCTCCATGTACCAAAAGCTGGTCTTGGGATTATCTACAGACCCACATATTCAGCACCTAAGGCATTTGAGACAGACCTGAAATGCCAACAGTGACCTGGGCATAGAGGTTCTGTGCTAGATACATGCATTACAGATACACATGCAGGCTGGTTTTTTTTTTAAAGCAAAAGTTCTAGAGATTAAGATCTTAAGAGAAATCCAGCAGGATGACATTAAGTAGCATATCACCAATCCATTTTAATCCATGCCTCAAGCTATTAGCACCCACTAAAGCCACCCATGCCTTGCAGAATTCGTGCTTAAAAATAGCACAGGCTAAAGTGAACCACCTTTGGCCTGTGCGGACCTCATGAGGGGCAACCAGGTCAAGTGCAAGGTCCTGTACCAATGTCAGGGCAACTCCCAGTGTCAGCCTAGGCTGGGGGTGAAGGGCTGGAGAGCAGCCCTGGGGGGAAGGACTTAAGAGTGCTGGGGGTGAGAAGCCCCCAGCAGCATGGGCTGCACCCCCAGCAGCGTGGGCAGCAGGGCAGGGTGGGATGCTGCCCCTCTGCCCCGCTCTGGGGAGACCCCCCTGCAGTGCTGGGGCAGCTCTGGAGTCCTCAGCACAGCAGAGACAGGGACCTGCTGGAGCGGGGCCAGAGGAGCCCCAGCAATGACCCAAGGGGGGAACCCCTCTGCTGGGAGCCCAGCAGGAGACAGCTGGGCTTGGGCAGCTGCAGAGGAGAAGGCTCCAACTGGAGAGACCTTCTGGTGGCCTGCCAGGACTGCAAGGGGCCTGTCATAAAGCTGGGGACAGACTTTTGAGCAGGGCCTGTTGGGACAGGACAAGGGGGGGATGATTTCAAACCAAAAGAAGGAAATTTAGACTAGAGAGAAGAAATGTTTGACACTGAGGGTGGTGAGCCCCTGGCCCAGATTGCCCAGAGAGATGGTCACTGCCCCATCCCTGGAACCATTCCAGGTGAGGTTGGCCAGGGCTCTGAGCAACCTGCTCTGGTTGCAGATGTCCCTGCTCCCTGCAGGGGGGTTGGATCTTTAAGGTCCTTTCCAACAGAAACCATTCTGTGATCTCCAAACCTGGATTTTCAATTCAACAAGGCAACTACATACACCTCTTAAATCAATATGCTACCTGCAATTCCTTCCTGAAGAACCATCCTGCAAAGCATCAGGTACTCACCGTAAAATCACATGAGCAGTTCTGACTGTCACAAGCAGAGACTACAGAAGAGGGGGAGGAAAAAAATAAAGATATGTTAACAACATTCTGTCAGGGAGAATGGTGCACAGGCAGAGGCTGAAGGGCTAGAACACAAAATGCCTTTATTGCAGCTTAACGAGTTCCCGTCAACCAATGGTCACTAGAGACCATTGGTCCTGTCAAGCAGCGGTGACAACGTACCCGTGACAAACATGAAGCTTATAAATAAATATGGAAGAAATTATTCTCAAACAAACAATGATCTTGGAGCTGCCACTATCATCACTCCTGTCAAGTCTCACTTTTCCCCCCACTATGTAAGACATACTGACTTTTTAAATTCTTGTCGCTCAGTGGATGTCAAGACCACAAACGCACCAACTACCTCTCAGCCCACTGCTCAAGAACAATCTGAAGGACTGAATAGTAGCAGGAATTTGAGCAAAAACCAGGGAAGCACCTTCAGATAATTTGCCCCCTTTGCTGAGATGTGAACGCTGCAGAAGTAACTTCTCTTTAATCATACTTGGTTCTCTGTACTAAGTATAGAGAAGAAAACTGAGTATCAGAAAGTGTAAGGAGCTCAGAAGTGTAGAGATGAATTACCAGAAATAACTGTTTCCAGAATGCCTAACCACACTTCCACGGGCTTTCATCATCTAAGAAACGTGGCCCCATCACCTCTCCCTAACCTGCCAGGCCCACAGTGCCCCAGCCCTCCTGTTTTTCCTGGGAATGGGATGGGACAAACCCATTCAGAGACTGCCCACCTGGGGTCAACTAACACCAAGATGCAGAGGATTTATCAGAAGCATCTGAAGCCACCCCAGTAAAACTGGTCTGACAACATGTCTTCAGCCTAAGGTATTAAAAACAGTACAGAAAACATAACAAAATCACTAACTTCCCAATATAGCAATAAAATGGTTGGTTTGGGTCATTTTTTTGCATCTGTAAAAAGCACCCTTAAAATGTTTCTGTGCATATTTAACCCTTAATAATATCCAACTTAGCTGCCAAGTGTTGGCTTTAAAATAAAGTGTTCCTGTGACTCAACACTGGCACCATCTTTTCTGGAATAAGGGGTTCAGCACAGATCATTGAAATAACAGAAAGAAATGTCCCAAAGGTAACAGGAAGCCACCCAGCACGCTGTGCTCCTCTCAGCACAAACATCTTTAATTAAGAAGTTAATTAGCACACAAGGTGCTCCTGCGAAGCATGTTATAAGACCCTCTTCTGTCTCCTGTGTGGGGGGTGGGCAGAGTCTGCATCTTATTCACAGGAGGGTTTTGGCTACAGTGAAACTTTGAGCAGACCACAGAGGAGAATTGTAAGCATGCCAGTGGTGAAACAGAAATGTTACCTGAGCTGCTGGATAGATAAGCCATGGAGCACAAATCTGTGTCCAAACCAGCACACACAACTTCTCCAGTAAGGAAAACATCTGTCAGGAAGAAGTCTGAGGACTCTTAAACTTTGCAACTTTTCAGAAGTTAATGTTGCCAAGACATGAATTGGGCTGGTTAGTGCTGAGGCAGCAGGAGCATCAGAGTTAAAAGAATGAGCAAGTGCAGAGACCCTACTGCAGCCTAGAAGACCTTCTGGAGGGCTTTCAGGACTTCAAGGGGCCTTGCAGTAAGCTGGGGACAGACTTTTGGGGAGGGCCTGTTGGGACAGGACAAGGGGGGATGGTTTCAAACTAAAAGAGAGAGATTGAGACTAGAGAGCAGGAAGAAATGTTTGACACTGAGGGTGGTAAGCCCCTGGCCCAGGCTGCCCAGAGAGGTGGTCACTGCCCCATCCCTGGAACCATTCCAGGTGAGGTTGGCCGGGGCTCTGAGCAACCTGCTCTAGCTGCAGCCTGCAGGGGGGCTGGACCAGATGGCCTTGAAAGGTCCCTTCCCACCCAAATCAGTCTGTGATTCTGTCAAGGCAATGGTCTCTGGTTCCCCCACTGTTTCCAGAAATGTTTCCAGCATTCCAACAGTTTCCTGTTGCAGGAAGTACAACACTGTACCCTGAGTTACACAACTGCCATCTGAGGGTCTAACTGTACAGTAGGCCACTTTCTTTCACACAATGAAAAGATGCAAAGGTAGATACAGACTGGATGTCACTTGCTATACTCTCATCCTCAAATACCATATATTAAGGCAAAAAAGCTTAACATTCACTCAAAAATCCAGACAGTATTCAACCTCCTCTGGGCGTTTGCACACCCACCCTTTGCCGGAAAAAAAGAAGCTGACGAACACAGAACAAGGGGAAGCCTCACTAAAACCTGAGAAAAACCATCTCTGTTGCTTTCCTGCAAACCCTGAGGCACCTCGCTGCATCAGTGGTGCCAGGGTCAGGAGAAAGATGAATAGCCTCACGTAGCTTAATGTGATTAAATCCACACTAATGGAATACGCTTGGCAGGGTACTCCCTGCCACCAGCCACCAGCCAGAAAGCATTTTAGTCTGCAAGACTGAATGCTGAGAGCCTGAGGACTGCCAGGAGGTGTCACTGCCAGTACTGGTACGGGAAGGAACCTCAGCGTGTTGCTCTACTTACACGAGTGCTGGGTGTTAAAATCAAGGAAACTCCTCACAGTCGCCCAGTCCACTGAGGGAATATTTAAAATGGTCACAGAAGGGCAAGGTATTAGTTAATTGCATATGTGGAATGATTAGATAGGCTAGAATTCTTTTGCTTCGAAGGAAAGTCAGAAGGCTAACAGGAGAAAGGCCTGTCAACTCACAAATGGTATGAAGAGGGGTAAATGGAAGGATTCTTGGCAGGTCTGCACCATAAATGTATCGGATGATAGTCAGGGACATTATCAGACAGAAGACCCAAACCAACTCAAAGAGCTCTTTTGTATATACAAAGCCAAGTTAGATGTGGAATTTGTGAAATTGCCTTTGGAAATTGCACAGACCGAAGTATAAACGAGTTCAATCAATGCTCAGACAACTTTCCAGAGTCCATCCAAGGCTATCAAACTCGACTGCATGGCTCCACGGCTTGGCTGACCACCTCACACTTATGCTGACAGAGCCACTCCTGTGTTAAGAAGCAGGGAGCACAGCTCCCCTCAAAATGAACAGCCAGGTGCCATCCTGCAACCCAGAACACCCGCAGCACTGACAGGACGACACTTCAGCACCACAATGCTTCCTGATAAACCCACCCCAGGCTGGTAGGAGGCTGATATGTCCTTCTGCCAAGCCAAGATAAGAGACACACCACCACCAAGCCCCACCTGTCTGAGACACGAGCAAGTCTCCACTACCCTTCTGCTCCAGCATTACAAAATCTGGCCTAACATATTCTTGTATTTAGGGAAAAGTAAACTGGCATGTTAAATAGCTGAGCTGTGGTGTGACTAGCATCACATTCTTCTACTATTAGCTGTTTTCTCTCCTCCTCACTAACTCCAAGTATAAACTCAAGATAGAAGACAAATAAACAGCACGTGCTACCTGGTATCTGAACTAAGGATGTGCTAACATGACTTACTTGCACTCTGCCCAAGGAGGTGATAATCTTAAAAGTGCAACAACCCACCAGAGTATCACAAACATACTGATGTTCACAAACATATTGATGTTTACTCCATGTTGCAAAGGGTTCAGGAGGACAGACCTGCTCTGCTCATCTCAGCTGAGACACAACTTTTTACACAAACAGAAGCAAATCCCACGAGGGTGCCTTAATGAACAGATGTTAGTCTCACTTCTTTTTGGGAGAAATGACATAGAAAATGCAACCTCCAAGAACCAGGCTGAGATGCACATTACACTTTTATACGTGCTCTCTCCCTCTCTCTAGTGGCCATTTCAACAGATCCTTCCTGCAGTACTCATGAAGTAGAGCTATTATTTTTTTATGGGCTGCCATTTGATGTCAGCATCATCTTATGGATTTATCCCCTCATTCTCTTCTGCAGACAAAGATTTTTTTGCAGGCTTGAACTCTGAAGAGAGAAATTGTGCAGATATGGCAACTACTCTAAAACAGGGGAGGGGTTTTTTTGTGTCTTTGGAGTTTTTTCCTTGGGGGGAACGAAGAGAAAACTACACCAAAATACCCCCCAGGTGAGAGGTGAAAAGCAAAGCAGAGAGCACAACAGGTGCTAAGGAAGTCTCACCTCTGCTGCCATGAAAGCCAGCGTGTGCATGCCATGGGTGTAGCCAATGACACCACAGACGACAGCTAATCCACAGCAGGACAGGAGCATGGCTATGAGCAGGGTCAGGACTCTGATGTGGCTGCTCATGGGGGTCGTGGGAGAAAAGGAAAGCTGCAACACAAACACAAAAATACATAACAGGTTTAAAGGGGCACTTCACTCACCTTGCCTTCCATAGGCACCTCACCAAGCAAGCCTTCATTTGGGAAAAATCTTTTTCTTTCTAGAATAAAAATTATTTTATGACCCCAACCCCTGCACATAGTAACAAATGATGCAGAATGAAGCTACAGCCACACACCATCCCAAAGTCTCGTTGGGCTTGCTCTCATTTACGTCCACCAGGCTTCTAAAACCAGAAGGGATGCATACAATTATAATAATACAATTATTGGTTGTAATGTTTAGATCACTTGTGCAAGAAAACCACAGACACTTTCTCATATGGTAGTTTCTGCACCAAATCCACAGCTCAGGATGAACATGTGTTTTTAGAAAGACATCTAACCTTTAATACACAGTCTCTAAGCAATGAGAATTATTGTGCCATTTTTTCACCTTACAGCTGACCTGAATTTGTCCAGCTTTATCTTTCAGCTTCTAGTTCTTTCAATGGTGTTTTGTTCTGGACAAAAAGAGACACCCCCCCCAAAAATTTAACTCACGGCCAGAGACTGACATACAGAGGCTACTGACAACAGTTTTCTCATTCAACAGCACGTACAGCGTATTAATTCTCCAAACTACCTTAACAGTAGGCTACACCTCAGCTGTCTAAATCAAAGACAGCCCAAGAGGCCAAGTATTTAGGTGGTCCGACCCCTTTTTCCAGGGCAGGAAGGAGAACACGACAAGGAAAGGAGTTCCCCAAAGCTTTGCCCAGGTCTCATGATAAAAGTTGACTAATGTTTTGTTTTTAAATTGGTTCCTTCTTCCTTGTTTGTATCTGGTTCAGTTCCACACGGCCGAGTTTGCGAGGCAGATCACACAAGCACCATTTGTCCAAGTACGGAATTACGATACATGCTTTGAATGCAGAAGGAATATAATAAGGATTTCTTCCCACAGGAGCTTTGTTCTTTCACAGCTTTCTGAACAACACTAAAAATACCAGATGACTGCCTTGGCCACTGCTGTCTCGATTTTCCTAACCCAAACCAGCCCAGTTTCAAGCTCAGTGCATAGCTACTTGTGAATTAACAGGCCTTACTGGACATGAATTTTAAAAATTGCAAAGCACAGAGCTATCAAAAGGAAATTTGTGGATTTGATTTTGTTCAAACTTTTATTCCAGGACAGAGAAGCTGAGGAAAATGCACGTCCACTGTAGCTCTTTAACGGGCAAGATTTACTGTTCAAATTCTGGCTCCTTCTTCCTTGCCTAGCCTTCAATTTCTGCATCTGTACTGAATTTACTAGTGGTATTCACAGAAAGCAGGACGTAGATCATGGAGAAAACTGAACTGTACATTGTAAAGACATCAGCAGTCAACATTTGGGAGGTGTAAATGAGCTTGAAACCTGAGCACAGGATCCACAGAAAAGAGCTTCATGGACCAGTCCTAAAGGACACCAGTCTACAGGGTGCTCCGTTATCAAGATTTCCTCACGAAGGTGAGCTGTGAAGACGTCTCACCAAATTATGCAACAGTAACTACAGGGCATGTATAAGGAGCAGTTTATCAAAGAAAATAAATATCTTCAGCCCCATTTGTCTCATGGGAAAACTGAAGGAGGAAGATTTGACATTGCACTTCAAAGCAAGTATTTGAAGCTACTGGGAGGTGCACGTGGGTAAAAGGCCTAAATGACCTGTTGTAACCTATCATGAGCCAGTGCCCAGACCAGAAACAGAATCGTGTCCCAGAAGAGTCCTTGACCAAAACTTACGTATTCAAAGCGATCCTTGCAGAGCTGAACCATGAGATGAAGAAACACAAGTCCAGAGAACCAGAGGCACCACATCACCACTTCTTCCACCGTCTGAACATTCAGCACGCCAAAAATGAAGATGAACTTGTAGAAGATGAAGTTCCAGAATTTATCCTTGAGATGCTGTAAAGGAAAATATTTGGTTACTGCAGTGAAAGCCCTGACAATCCACATGCAGGGGAGAGGAGGAGGGAAAAGGAGAAAAAGATGGGAGTAGAAACATGACATTATATTAGCAACAGCCTGCTGCAAGCATGTCTTGAAACTATATGTTACCCTTATGTTCTGCCAATGACCAGGCCCAACAAAAACAATGCAGCCAGCAGAAAGAGAAACCAATAGGCAGACTGTATTGTAGACAAAAACGTTTTGACATGAATGACTGCCAGGGGTACAAACAGATCCATCAGCTGGTACATAATCGACGCCACCCCCAACGATCCCAGAGAAGATGTGACTCGGCCCACAAGAAGTGGTACAAACAGTGAGCTGAGGTTGCCCATAGTTGGTGTGGGAAACAGCCAGACCAGCCAGTTAAATACATAAGAGAAAGTTGCCCACATGGCGACTCTCACCCGATCGACCCGCGTTCGCAAAGGTCTAAACAGACCAGGGCCCAGCCCCATGGAGAGTCAGGAGGTCTGCCCTGAACCAGGAAGCTCTGTGGAGTGCACTCCACAGACAGA